TGCCAGTGGAGTGTGTGGAAGGGTTGGCAGCCTGCCTGGAAGGGGGGGGGGGCAGGAGACCCTCCCCTCCTCCTTCCCACGGGGATTCCACGGGCGACGTCCAGGGTCCACTTCTGGTTCTGATGCTCGGTCTCCAGTGGTGGTCGGAGGAAGAAGCCTCCTTTGCCGGCAGGTGGCGCAGCCGGTGCTGGGCGGCCCGAGTGCAGCTTTTGCGTGGTGGGGTGGGTGGGCTTCCTGGGAGGCGGTCGGGGTGCCTCATGGGGGAGGGCAATTGAGGGGGGAGATCTCAGGGGTCCAGGAGCTCCGGCGCCAACCTGCAGCTTCTGGAGCGCAAGCCGCCTTCGCCGTCCAGGGTGGGTGGTTGCAGAGAGACCATCGGCCCTTTGGGAGACCGGAGGGAAGCCCACCAAGAAGGGCCGAATTCACCCTCCTCAGGCCACTTTCCCCGTGGGGTGAATGGGGCCACTCACGGCCTCTTCAAGAAACCCTGGGTGACCAAAGCTTAGGCGAGTGCTGTGTGCAAACTCTGTGTCCTGGGGGCCTGCCCCCCCCCCCCAGGCAGGCAGGGCCGAGGGGGCTTAGAGGCCGAGGCTAAAGGGCCGAATGGTTGGCCTGAGCCACCTGGCCCCTCCCCCACGGCCCACCGCCCTGCAGCTGCACCCCGAATCCCTCAGCCCTAGGGCTCCCCTGGGCCCGTCAGGAGGGTGAGGGTTGGGGCCCACTCCTTTCCCAGTCCGGGGCGTCCCAGGAGCCCTCGCTTCTTCTTCCGTGAATCCATCCAAAGGCAGCTCTGCAACCGTCGTTGCTTAATGAGGCAGCCTCAGCTTATTTGTGTCCCCCCCCTTCCTTTTATGCCCTCTCCTCCCCTTCAGTGAAAGTCCCGGATCGGGCAGGTCTGTGGGGCCCCATCCCGCGAGGGGCCCTCCTGTGCCCCTCGTCCCTTTGGGCAGCCGACCCCAGGGGACCTCCTGCTGCTGCAGACCCGGCCTTGGCTCCCCAATGGAAAGGGGCCCCTGGCTTCAGGATTGTTGCCTTTGGTGCTAAATTTCCCCCCCCCCCCCGTAAGGAAAGGCTGCCCAGGTCCTGGGACTCAGACTGCACTTCTGCCAAGGGTGGGTGACCAACCCCTCCCTCGAGACCGGAAGCCCGGTGGCCCCCCTGCTTTCTGGGGGAGTTCGGCTTCGGTGGAAAGGCCCAGCTCATGGGCTCTTGGGGCGCAACTGAGGCATCTTGCTTGCTGTGTGTGTGGCGTCAACAGGAGGAGGTCCATATTGGGGCTGTCAAACGTGTTTCCCTTCTCCTCTTCGTCATCTATGAAGGGTGCCTGAGAACATGCTGGCTTGAAGTGCACCTGACGGTTCAGCGGTTTTCATTTTGGGGCAACGGGGAGAGCAGAACCCTTGGCCAGGCGCTTGAGGCCCGTCATGGTTGTTTTATGTTGTGGCACACAGATCTGGGTCTCTCGGGGCCCCCCTGACTCCGGGCAGTTCTCTTGAGGGGGGAACCCCAGGCATCGTTGCCATCTGTGTGGGGGGTGAGGAAAGAACTGTAAAAGATTGGCGCTGGGCCGTGTTTAGTCTTCGCTTGTGTCCACATCGGTTGCCAACTGGCATGGGAAGTGCCCGGCTGAAGGACTTTGGGGAGTGTTTGGATCAAAGGCTGAACTCGAACGCACTCCAGCACAGTTGGGTTTGCTTACTTATGGCTTATCGGATAAGCTGTGCTTGGCTGGGTCTCCTCAGCAGGCTGAGGGGGGAAGGGCAGCCCAGGAGCCCCAGGGACTCCATCCACGAAGCCCAGCGTGTCGCAGCCGAGCCAACCACTTACGGCTTGAACGCAGTTTGGTTGCTGGCCCGCACGGATGAAGTGCCCCCTCGACCCTGACTCTGGCTTGTGTTGGAGAAAGAAGCCTGGGGAAACATGGCCTGTTTCTGCATCCAAGGCACCATTAATGGGGGTTTGCTGCTCTTCGTCTTCGCCTGTTGTGGTCAGGGGTGTGTGTGTGACTTCCAGGCTGCACTTTCTGTCTTGCTGTCTGTCTGAATCCAGACAGTCTCATTCATGCATCTTCTTTGTCTTTGGGACGGAGGCTCCGCGATTGGCACGCTGTGACTTAGGATTGAGCGTAGGGCATCAACAGAACCCTGGTGCTGGTTTGGCCGCCTCCCCATCACGCCAGGGAAAGCTCCCCACGCCACCCCAGGCCAGAGCCTCTCTCCGCGTCAGAGAAGGCGAGTCTGGGGCTTTGTGGGCCACGAGGCCAGAGCAGGGGTCCCCTAGAGACCGGGGTGTCCCCTGGCTGGCTGTCTCTTTGGCCCCTCAGGCAACCGTCCTTCGGCTGGGTCCTCCAAGGTTTCCCGGCCCACCGGGAGTCCCGGCGCCTGGGACTTGGCCCCCTCCTCAGGGCTGGGCAGGGCGAAGGGGCGTAGAGGTGAGGCCGGGAAGGGAACGGAACGGCCACTCAGTCCAGGGAAAGTGGAAAGCAGGGGAGAGGCGCCCAGGACGCCGGCCTTGTTGGCTGGGGAATGCTGGGAGGGGAAGCCCACCTGTCCGGAAGCTGCCACGGTGGAGAAACACGGCAGGAGACGCCCTCCTGGGCAGGAATTCTGCAAGGGGCAGGCTAGGAAAAGTGGGATCTAGC